ATACTACAGAGAAAACCTGCAGGATTAAAGGGATCCAGAGTTCTGTGGCCAAAAAGGAAGACAATGTAACAAAGGAAAGTGGTCTAACCTGGCAAAAGTGACCACTTCATAGAGAGAGCAGAGGTGTCGTACTGAATCCTGATTCTAGTATCAAGAAGGTGAATGCGCTCATTGGCTAAACTGTAGAGATTACAAGGATCTGCCAGTCAGTTGCTTTGACAGTATAATACTAAGAAAAAACTAAATGAGCTAAAATTCTAAAACAGAAAAAGGGAAAAAACAAATCCTCACTCTTTGGATGCTAGGCAAAAAAAAGAAACTACACTCTGACAGTTGTGGGGTAAAGCCACTGGAGGGAGCTGTTCTCTTAAGTGCTTTTTTGTGCACCTAGTATCCTACTCTTGTAGATGGTAGCATAACCCAATTGTTTCTGGTTGATCAACTATGTCCCTCACTGAATGATAGAGAAATGTTTTTTGTACTTTCATTTTTGTAGTTTAAGTTTTTAAAAATGCAACATTTTTAAAAAGCCTTAATTTAATTTGTACATTATATAACTCTTCCAATGCTTTATACCAGAAAAAAATGTATTGTGATAGAAATGGACAAATTACAGAAATAAATTAGTATTTTATATCTGAAGCAACGTTTCAGACTTGTATTCTATAGAATAGAATATTTAGTACAGTAAAATCCCTGTTATCCCAAATCCATGGGGATTGGTATGTTCCAAAAAAATTTAGTTCTTGGTTTCTTGAGAGTAAATATTAGAAATAGGTCTAACTAATGTTTTACCCCATACTATACCATACCATACCATACCATACACTCTGTATTGACTTTATATTAATACTGAAATACAGTAATCAAAAGCAAATTAGATACAAAACGTATTAGTGCTGTAATGCAAGTGCACACAGGTAATACAGGTGCTGTATAATGATCACAGCTGACCTGAGGAAACAGGACATACAGAGGTGCTTACTTATGGCCTGGTGTGCCCTGGGGCTGCCTGACAGCGGGGGTGAAGATCTACAAGACAATTAACATCTTCTCTTAGTACTGTAGGCTCATGGAATACAGCACAGTAGTACTGTATTCCATGAGCCTACAGTCACTGCTCTAGATAGGCAGAGCCAGCTGTCACTCACGCAGCTGTGTGGATCCAGACAGTATTGTTGGGATCTGTCCCAGCTGCGGCGCTCTCAGTATATCGCGGGCAATGGCTCGCTATATACTGAGCTTTGGGTCACAGGAGGATATGAGTATATGTCCTCTTGTGACCCTAAAGAGAACTATGGTGAAAAACACTTACCCCATAGTTCTCTTTTAAGTCATTGACCAGAACAAGTATGCAGATAAGTACTTCTGCTGTTACCTTGGCTTTTCTGATAAGCATATTTGTTCCAGGTCTCCAAGTTCAAAAGTATGAAAGACAGAGATTCAAACAGTAGCCATACAATTAACATTTTCAGAAGAAGGTCAGTGATGGATCCCCCATATCCCTTAGAAAGGGTTTACTTTAGCGGAGTAGGCACACATACAAAATAATTCTATGCATCTGGTTTAGAAGACCAGCTTCTGAAACTGACAAAACTAAAAAAATCACTGCATTTAAAACATATAGAAAGGTTTTGTTTTGGTTGGAGTTCTCATTTGAATAAGAAAATACCTGTGGTAGAATCCCTTTGACTAGGAGGCTGGGGCTCAGCGGAAGACAGCAGGATCCATTCAGAGTAAAGAATTGTTTGACCTCCTCTAAGCCATTCTTAAGTATTTCCTATGCAAGAAAAGTATCCGTAAGTACATTTTACTAAGTTTGTGACAGTTCTCATTTATCCAGTTCATGGGATAGCTAGCAGTATTTAATCACATTCAACTAGACTTGTTCTCTAATGTTGATGGACATTTTGCTGCTCATCCAAGTTGCTTCTTCGGTTCTAATGAACATAAACTTCTTCTGTTCTAATGAACATAAACATATGCTAAAGAATGATTATGACACTTTAAGCTGAAGAAGCAACTAGAACCAGAAGCAAAAAATCGTCTAGCATAACATATAACATAACATAACATAACAATTACAAGTAAATGTGACTAACTACTACTAGCTATATTTTAACAAATATGTATTGATATAAATAAGAGGCCATGAAGCACCCCATCATTTCTACAGTTTCATGGTTTCCTAAAATTCACTGTCAGTACTAGCAAAGCTTAGTCAAAACAGTAAACTGAAGTACATTAGGGATGCACCGATACCGATACAAGCATCGGTATCGGCCGCGATATCGAGTATTTGCATGGGTACTCGTACTCGTGCAAATGCTCTGATGTCCAAAACGATGTACATATTTAGAAGCTTTTAAAGTTGCAAGAAGATTGCATGTTCTCCCTGTGTTTGTGTAGGTTTCCTACAGGTACCCTATTTTCCTCCCACGCTCCAAAGACATGCTGGATGGTTAACTGGCTCCTGTCTAAATTGGCCCTGTATGCATGTGGGATAGAGACCTCATATTGTAAGCTCCTTGAGGGCAGGGACTGATGTAAATGTGCAGTATGTAAAAAGCACTGCATAAATTGTTTGGCGCTATATAAATGCCTGTAATAAATAAATAATAATAGTAATACTCATACTCTTCTGATGTATCATCCACTGCTGTATTAACCACTTGCCGTCCGCCCGTTGCAAAAAAACGGACGGACGGCAGAGTCCCATGGATGGGTTGCCGTAATTAGACGGCACTTTTTTTTTGCTTGCGCGCTAGAAAAAACCCACCCATTCTTTACCTATATAGCCGCAGCTCGGTTGTATTTTGCTCGCCCCCCCCTCCGCCCCCTTTAATGCTGCCACCTGGAGTGCCGCCCCCTCCTGACCCCTCACCTTCAATCCAGGGATCCGCTAGCCCATCTACTGCCGGCTTGGGAGGGCATCAGGAGGTAAAATGGGAGGGAGTTCAGCATCTTTCTCCTATTTGATCTCCCTCCATAGTGTGAATGCGGAAGTGTTGTGTAATACATTACTTCCGCATTCACCTGTCAGTCATCTGGCTGCTATAGCCAGAGAGAAGAAGCTGATGAAGCAGATCTCTGCATCATCAGCTTATTTTGGGGTCCCCAGGTGACATTAGGGGTCTTAGAGACCCCTAATGTCTCCATAAAGAGGACCTGTCAGTGTGCCTTTGCTATTAAATAGGGGGATTGTTATCCCCTATGTGATAGCAATAACAATAAGTGTAAAAAATGTTTTAAAAAGTTACAAAAAAATAAAAGTCACAAATAAAAAACGTTTTTTTTTTAAAAACTAAATTTTTAAGTCCCCCACCCCCACATTTACGCACATATAAATGTAAATACGCGTTCGATGCGCCAGCGCACAAAAATTACAATTGCGCTACACTTGTTACATATCACCGCAAACGTCGGAGTGAGAGCAATAATTCTAGGGCCATCAATCACTGATAACACTAAACTGATGAGCGGTAAAAGCCTTTAAAGCGTCGCCTATGGCCAATTTTGGGTATCATAGTTTTTTGAGGTTGCGCGCGCAATTTTAAGGCTTGGCATGATTGGTGTCTTTTTACCCGACGTGACCCCGTCTTTTATATTTTACCAAAAAATTAGGTAATAAATGTTTTATAATTTAATATAGGGGGAATTTTTTTTTTTTAATTTTCTGTAATTTTTCCTTAATATAGTAAAAAATTAAAATTAAATGCCACCTAAAGAAAGCTCTGTCTGTCCCTAAAAAATTGTATAAAATTAATTTCAGTACAGCATTGCATGACGGAATAAATGTCAGTAAAAGTACTGCAGCGCTGAATAATGAAAAATGACCTGGACGGGAAGGGAGTTTAACACCGTGGACTTCAAGTGGTTAAAACGCGTTTAACACATGTCATAATGTTTACTTTTGCCACTGCTGCACCTTATGTGAAAAGCTGTCACTGGGGCAGTATTATAGGGAAAATCTTCCAACAGAGACAACTGTCTAAGATGAGATTTCCCTTACTTTGGATACAATTCCTTTCATATCCTCTTATGTCTGCAGGACAAAAAGTGAAAAGAGCTCTCCCCAATGGAACAATAATTGCAACAAAAAACCCTAACATTGACATGGTTGTTCTGTTACAATCAAATCACGTTTAAGCAAAACTTTTTCTATACATTGGCTAATTGTTAATGGGTAAGTATACAATCATGTAAATATCTGAAAACATAAATAAAACATTAAGCCAAATTGGCATACAGGGAAGAGACTTTTTGCTTGTCAATTTTAAGCCTAGCCAAAAATTGTATTGAACCACTTCTGTATGCTCTTTTAGACAGATCTGGTCAGGGGCGGACCGACTGCCTGAGGGCCCGCAGCCAGGAGGGGGCCCGTGGTCAGGCCGCCGGGCAGGTGTGTACAGGCAGCCCTGTACTGGGCGGGCCCCATCAAGTCAGCGGGGGGAAGGTGCCAGGCTGGGAGCGGACGGTGCGGATTGTGCTGTGTGTGCTCTCTGCCCTACAGATGTGATGCGAGCAAGCATCCACACCACAGCACCACCAGGCAAGATCAGTTAACTAGTATCCTGCATCTGCCACATCCTATTACCTGTTCTCTCATTTGGTAATGGGAGCCGGGGGATATGTCGGCACTACTGATAGCTCATCTGGTTAGAGTACATTAGTGGAGGCATTTAGAAGGATCCTTATGGCGATCCACTTGCCCTAGTTAGCATATGGTTGCTGTTATTATTGCTATCAGCCTTCCTGTATGCTCAAGTATTATGTAAATACAGTCATTATTAGTAGTAGTTATTTTTGTAACGCTGTTCTTCCCAAAACCAATGACTCAGGTGGGTACGTAAAGGCACAGTAGGTGCATATGTTGAAATTAGGGAACCTAGGATAATATAACCATGGTTCTGGCGTGAGGTCTGCAGTGCGTTGGTTCTGGTCTGAGGTCTGCAGTGCATTGGCTCTGGTCTGAGATCTGCATTGCGTTGGCTCTGGTCTGAGGTTTGTCATGCGTTCCTCATTCCTAAACTATACAGGATCTTCAGGAGTGGGCAAACTCTGGCTCTCTAGCTGTGGTGGAGCTACACGTCCCATTATGACTCCCAGAGCCAGATGCATGATAGGATTTGTAGTTTTACCACAGTTAGAGTCTAGAATTTGCCCACCCCTTGTCATAATGCATTGGGTGGGGGTCCAGAAAGGCCCTGGTATGGCTATGGCAGCTTGCTGGAACTTGTGCTCCTTCCACAGCCCAGCTGCGTATTCTGTAAGCAAGGACAAGCATGATGATCCTTAGCACCCAGATTTTAACATATTGAAATAAGATGAGTGGACGCTGGTTGCGACTAGTTGCTTTGGGTTACTGCACTTTACGTAAATAAATGTAAGCATTAAATGCATTTTACTTTATTTACATTATAATACATGTGCTTGGGGTGTAAGGTGTTCAAGTGATAAGGGGTCCACTTGCCCTGGTTACCACTTGATTGGCAGGCTTCTCCCCTCCTTCTCTACAAGGACCAGGGCTCCTTTGCATAGAAGGAGGGGAGGAGCCTGTCAACCAGCTTGTTACAATGGCGAGTGGGCAGGACCTTCCACTAAGCAGACCTATTAGGATCCCGTCTGCTCCCCTGGGTTGTGCTCATCAGCTGAATGGAGGACTGGTGACTTTTAGCACACAGGGTCCGCTCCCTGCACCGCCCATGGTATCAGGAGCAAGAGTTCTACCATGAGGTAAGCTGCAGGGGGGGTGGGGGGGAGCAGCTTAACAGAGAACAGAGGAGGAGAGTGAGCAGTGTAAGATGGGGGATGCAGAGGATGCGGAAGTTAACAGTGTTGGAAGAGGGTGGCCGCCATCAAACCCTCTTCCAACACTGTTAACTTCTATAGCCTCTGCATCCCTATTCCAACAGTGTTCACCTCTGCACCCCCTGAGCAGTATAGAAAGGGGGATGAGGATGTGTGAAGCATTAGTAAAGGGTTGCAGGGTGTGCAGAGATGGGCAGTGTAGGAAGTGGGATGCAAGTGGTGCAGAAGTAAGTAGTGTAGGAAGAGGGATGCAGGGGGTGCTGAAGTAAGAAGTGTTGCAAATGCAGCAACATATGCTAATGTTGGCATAACTAGATGGCGCTGTAGTGCAATGTTAGTCTCTATGCTTATGTATTCTTATCTATGATATATACAGGAGGTTTTCCTATCAATGTTTCCTGACAATGCTGTATTCCTATACACATACATATAACGTTCTTCTAGGCAAGTAAAAACTTAATTCAGCATTCCTTAAGATCTCAGTGCTTCATCTAAACACATAACCAATCAAAAGTGTAGGAAGGCAGGGGGTCCAGAGGTAAGTAGCATAGGAAGAGGGATGCAGAGGATGCCGAGGTAACACATGTAGGAAGAGGGATGCAGGGGATGTAGAGGTAAGTAGTGTAGGAAGAGGGATGCAGGGGGTGCAGAGGTGAGCAGTATAGTTAAAGAGATGCAGGGAGTGCACAGGTACGTACCGTGTTTCCCCGAAAATAAGACCTACCCCGAAAATAAGACCTATCACTATTTTCAGAGATTTCTGTAATATAAGGCCTACCCCAAAAACAAGACCTACCTCCCGCCCGCCCGCACACACCTGTCTGCCTCGTCTTTCACGGTACATAGAGCTCCGCTGAAAACTACATTTCCCAGCAGGCACTGCGTGGCATGGCCAGTGGGGTCGGAGTGAGGTCAGGTGAGGTGAGGGAAATTCTGACTGGAGGTCCGTGCGATGAGGTGGCTCCCTGGACAGCATCAGAGAGGAGAGATCCAGGAAAGCTGCAGCCTGCAGGTACTGTGACACTGTGTGTGACAGTATTTTTTCATTTTGTTGCACATTAAAAAAAAAAAGACATCCCCAAAAATAAGACTAGTGTGTTTTTTTTTGGGGTAGGGGGAAATATATGACAGTGTCTTATTTTAGGGGAAACACGGTAGAGTAGGAAGAGGGGTGCAGAGATGAACAGTGTAGGAAGAGCTATGCAGGGGGTGCAAGAATGTATATGTGGGTGGGGCTTGTATATGGGTGGAGCACAAGGGGTCCCCATAATTTCCTATTGCCTGGGGGCCCCATGTGTTGTCAGTCAGTCCCTGGATCTGGTACATCAATAACTATCCCCCAATAAAAAAGGAAATTGAAATGAGAAATGAAAGGGTCTATGTAGTTATATGTAAAAGAGAAAAATAGGATTTACCACTCTGGCAGATGGAGCACCTTCTCTGACTTTCTGTGCTAACCTTGTTAATATGTTAACAAGCCAGCACTGTCGATCAAACTCTTCTCTTAGACCTTTCCCACAACAGCAAAGGAGAGCAGCAAGCAGATACTGGTAGCGAATGCTGAACTGCGAATCCTTCAAGCAGTCTTTCAGCAGCCTATGTATCACAAAATTACAAATTATTTCAATATACATGCAAATCAGATTTACACCATTTCATAGTAACAACAGTGCAGCATATAAGATCATGTGCTAATTACAATGCTTTCAATTTAAATTTGTTTGAAGAAAAAGAATATATAGATAACATTTTCTTTGTGGAACTAGTGCATTAGTTATGTATTTTATATGGTGTTGCTATTGCAATGTTTTTGTATTTGGTGGAATAACAAAATCATAAAATTGTAATTGGCATTAATGCTCTTAACCTTCATTGATACTGCTAAAAAGCTTTTATAATCCTCAAAAATCACTAACGCATATAATTGTCTATCAAAACAAATATTAACCACTTTAACTTATCCCCATAGTCTGTAGAATATTGCATGTGTGCATTGGCAACCTGAATAATGTACTCTTATTACTTCTATTGATTGTCTCAATTTTAATCCTGATATTTCTCTTATTGCCCAAAATTCACTTTCTTTTAAACCTCCTGTTTCTATTTGTAAAATGTTTCTGGCAATGCACTACTTCTTCCTTTATGTTATTCTGCCAGTTGTCCTGTGTTTTACAGGTTGCCTGTAAAAAACATTAAGACTCTACCATTGCTAGTAATTTCTTAACCCCACCTCATAGGACCCCTCTATAAACTGTTTAGTTATTATTAGGGATGCACCGATACAGGTTTATCGGTATAGAGTACCAATATTTTATTTCGATATCGAATACAGATACTGACATCCCAGAGTACCTTGGGCCCAGCTTATCAGGCTTTCTGATTGCCTGGGAAGCTGGTGTTCTATCAAAAGAACACCGGCTTCATGTTTCGAGGCATCCTGGCTTTCTGACCAATCAGGAAGCCGGGCGGCACGTCATGACCCGCCTCCTGGCTTCCTGATTGGCTAGGAAGCTGGCTTCATTTGTTGCTAGGCAGCCTTGCTTCCTGACCAATCAGGAAGGCTGGCGGCGGGTCATGACATGCCTCCTGGCTCGGCTCCATGCTCCCTCATGGCCCTGCCAGTCAGAGGGAATGTCCCTCTGACCCGAAGTTCCACTATTGGAGCATTTCGGTGAGTATGAGTACTCGTCCAAATTCTCAGTATCAGCACCGATACCAGTACATCCCTAGTTATTATCTTTATGATAATGACCCTGTAATTTATCAGCAGAAAAAAACTTCTACACATTTGCACATGCGAAAAAGAAGGTACACCCTATGTGAATTATATGGCCATACTTATTAGGCCATAATAAAAATCATCTTGTCTGTTGTAAGGTCTTAAAATTAGGTAAATACAATCTCAGATGAACAACACGTGATATACTATGCCGCATCATTATTTATTTTACAATCATAAAGCCAATTTATGTGTGAAACACTAAGCACACCTTTACTGCTTCCTGGAATTAAAAGGGCTAAGTAGCAGCCAGGTGCTGCCCTTTATTAACTGATAATAAGAAAATATGACCACCTCTATAAAAGCCAAAGTTTTAGCAGTTTGCTGGTCTGGAACATTCAGGTGTGTGTTAGCACAATGCCAAGGAGGCAAGACATCAGCAATGATCTTAGAGAAACAATTGTTGCTGCCCATCAATCTGGGAAGGCCATTTCCAAACAATTTAAAGTTCATCATTCTACAGTGAGAAAGATTATTTTCAAGTAGAAAACATTCAAGACAGTTGCCCACCTTCCCGGGAGTGGACGTCCCAGCAAATTCACCCCAAGGTCAGACCAGATAATGCTCAAAGAAATTGCAAGAAACCCTAGAGCTACAGTACTGTACACAGATTTTAGGCAGGTGTGAAAAAATGCTATAAAGTAAGAATGCTTTTAGAAATAAAAGTGTAAGTAGTTTATTTGTATCAATTAACACAATGGAAAGTAAATGAACAGAAGAGAAATCCAAATCAAATCAATATTTGGTGAGACCACCCTCTGCCTTCAAAACAGCATCAGTTCTTGGTACACTTGCACACAGTTTGTGAAGGAACTTGGCAGGTGGGCTGTTCCAAACATCTTGGAGAACTAACCACAGATCTTCTGTGGATGTAGGCTGCCTCAAATCCTTCTGTCTCTTCGTGTAATCCCAGACAGACTCGATGATGTTGAGATCAAGGCTCTGTGGGGGCTAAATCATCACTTCCAGAACTCCTTGTTCTTTTTTCATGCTGAAGATGATTCTTAATGACATTGGCTGTGTATTTGGGCTTGTCCTGCTGCAGAATAAGTTTGGGGCCAATCACACACCTCCCTGATGGTATGGCATGATGGATAAGTATCTGCTTGTATTTCTCAGCATTGAGGACGCCATTGATCCTGACCAAATCTCCAACTCCATTGGAAGAAATGCAGCCCCAGACTTGCAAGGAACCTTTACCATGCTTCACTGTTGCCTGAACACACTCATTATTGTACAGCTTGCCTACCCTTCGGTGAACAAACTGCCTCCTGCTACAGCCAAATATTTACATTTTTCATCAATCCAGAGCATTTGCTGCCATTTTTCTGCACCACAGTCCCTATGTTTTTGTGCATATTTGAGTTGCTTAGCCTTGTTTCCACGTCAGAGGTATGGCAGGACAGTATATTGGTGTATCTGAGTCCCACTGGTTCCCGCCAATCCGGTGCTGATGGCACTGCTGGACATCTTTCGATGTCGAAGGGAAGTAAGCATGATGTGTCTTTCATCTGCTGCATTAAGTTTCCTTGACTGACTGCTGTGTCTACGATCCTCAACGTTGCCCATTTCTTTGTGCTTCTTCAAAAGAGCTTGAACAGCACATATTGAAACCCCAGTCTGCTTTGAAATTTTTACCTGGGGGAGACTTTGCTGATGAAGTATAACTTCCTTGTGTCTTGTTGCTGTGCTCAGTCATGCCATGGTGTATGACGTGTGACATGAAACTGTCTTCCGCAAACCTCCCTTTAGTAGCAGAGTTTGGCTGTTCCTCAGTTTTAAGCCTCCTACACAGCTGTTTCTGTTTCAGTTAATGACTGTGTTTCAACCTACCTATGAAATTGATCCTACAAATTGTAATCCTACAAAATACCTGACTTTGTACAAGTGTAAAGGTGCCCATACACCTTACAATTATCTGCAGATTTTCTGTGGTCCGATGGAAAAAGTGCAACAGATTCCTCCATCTATGCTAAACTGTGTGGATGAAGGCATCTCCCACTGGGCCAAGCTTCAGTATCTTGCTAGTCAGCCCCACAGGCTGTCAAAATACCTGAACAATCTGATTGAATGCATGCATTGTTCAGGTGTTTTTAGAGCCAGCACGGCCGACCAGCAAGATTACGGAAGCTTGGCCCAGGTGGAGATTACGCCATCCACACAGTGTAGATGGAGGAATCTGTTGCACCTTTTCGATCTGACCACAGAAAATCTGCAGATAAGTGTAAGGTGTATGGCCAGCTTAAGAATTAATGCTGGATTTTAGCCAAAGGGTAGTCACACCAAATATTGATTTTATTGATTTTATTTAGATTTTTCTTCTGTTCACTAACTTTGCATTTTGTAAATTGATAAAAATAAACAATAAAAATATATATTTTTTAAGCATTCTTACTTTACAGCATTTTTTTGCACATGCCTAAAACTTTTGCACATTACTTTACATCTTAGACTCTACAGGCCTCAGTTAGCATATGAAATGTTAAAGTTCATGACAGTACAATTAAAATAAAGACTAGACAAGTATGGTTTGCTTGGAAGGGTTGCCAGGAGAAAGCCTCTTCTCCCTAAAATGAACAAGGCAGCACAGCTTAGGTTTGCAAAGTTGCATGTGAACAAACCACAAGACTTCTGTAGCAAATTCCTTGGACAGACAAGACTAAAATGCACAGAGCCACGTTTGGCAAAAACTAAACGCAGCATATCAGCACAAACACTTTATATCAACTGTCAAGAGCAGTGGTGGAGCGGTGATGATTTGGGCTTGTTTTGAAGTCATGGGACCTTTGCACCTTGCAGTCATTTAGTCAACCATTAACTCCTCTGTATACCAAAGTATTCCAAAGTCAAATGTGGGACATACCACCAATTCTACAACAGAATGACTGAAAAAGAAAAGAATCAAAGAATACAATGGCCCAGTCAAAGTCCAAACCTGATTTAAATGCTGTTGCAGGATCTTATGAGAGCTGTGCATAAACAAATGCCTGCAACGGTTCAAACTAGGGATGTCCCGATACCACTTTTTCAAGACCAAGTACAAGTACTTCCCCTCATGTATTTGCCGATACCACAGACAACCAAGAGGACGGGCAGAGGAAGGCTGAGTGGCAGACGATCGGGACCTGAAGAGGATCCGAGGAGAGTGTGGGAGCTGTGACAGCTGGAACAGGTCGTATGAAAGAGATTGGGGAGAGGGGGTAGTAGAGTTAGGACCACCGGGAGCCGCATGCCAGGGCGGCATTAAGAGCGAGCGGGTGGACGAAGGACCGTGGCTGCGGTGAGAGAGAGCAGAGTCCGGGAAGCCAGAAGCAGAGAAGAGCAAGATGTGAGCAAGAGGATCGTGTGGACGTGACTTGACCTGGCCAGAGGAGAGAACTGGAGGAACGGAGCGGAGGGACTGCCGGCTAAGGTTGTATGAAAAAGTGGGGGGGGTACCCCAGGGCATTTGTACAAACTAATATTAGGGCGCTAGAGTAATTTTAACCCCAGGGCGCCAGTGCAATTTAACCCCAGGGCACTAGTGTAACTTAACCACAGGTTATTAAAAGAGCCACTTGAGAACCGTTAAACATAAACAAACAAATATACAAATAATTAATCTTCTTTATAATAAAATAAGAAAGGGTGGAATAAAATAATGTCTTCCATGAGTGGGTATGCAACCAGGTGCATGTCGTGCGCAATGTATGCGTTCCTTGAACATGCGTTTGAGGGGGAATACATTTGCACTAGATGAGCGAGTTGTTTGTTTGGAAACCCAGATTCTGGATCTAAACAACAAACTGGCAACACTTAGGAGCATAACCATCATGGAAAAGAGTCTGGACATAACACGCTAGGCTGTCATGGAGGGTGGTCTGGAAGAGGAGGAGGGGTCGGAGGAGCAGGATCCCAAGGTGCGTAGCTGGGTTACTGTGAGAAGGCGGGGTAGAGGGAAGAGTGCTAGAGAGGTCAGCCCTGATCTGATTCACCCCAATAAATATGCCAAGTTGCAGGATGTTGGGGAAATCAGTTCAGGGGGGACACTGCTGGAGCAGGACGCCTCCTCTATCCGCAGGGGGAGTGACTGCTCCGGTGAGGATGGGAGCAGGATGGAGGGTCATGAAAGGCAGATCCAGCTGGTTGGAGATTCCATCATCAGGCGGACTGACAGGGTAATCTGTCATCGGAACCGTGAGCGTCGAACAGTGTGCTGCTTACCGGGGCACGTGTTCGACACATTGCGGAATGAATTGACAGATTACTAAATGGGGTTGGGCACGACCCCGTTGTCATGGTGCACATCGGCACCAATGACAAAATAGGAGGAAATTGGAGTATCCTAAAAAAGGAGTTCAGAGACCTAGGTGCTAGGATGAAGGAAAGGACCTCCACGGTAGTTTTCTCAGAGATACTGCCGGTGCCACGAGCCACTCCGGACAGACAGCGCGAGTTGAGAGAGCTTAACAAGTGGCTCCGGAGCTGGTGTCAGAAGGAGGGATTTGGTTTTCTGGAGAACTGGGCTGACTTTGCAGTCGGCTACCGGCTCTTCAGCCGAGACGGGCTGCATCTTAATGGGGAAGGTGCAGCATTTCTGGGGGGAAAAATGGTAGAAAGACTGGAGGAGCTTTTAAACAAGATAAAGGGGGGAGGGCATAAAAATAAAAATATGTAACTTAAATAGTGAAAACATAAACATGTATACAAATAATACAGTGGATAAAGGGGTAAATAGTGGGCTCACTCCAGTCACCAGTGCCAAAGCAGTCAATATAGTAAATCCTGTGGCCCAAGATAATATAATTAAGAATGGCCGACCAGTACCAAGGCCAAACAATAAAAGTAGTGTGGAACACGATGGAAGTAAACTTTGGTCCCATAACAAGACAGGAATTAAATGTATGTATACAAACGCTAGAAGTCTAGTTAATAAATTAGAAGAGGTTGAACTTATGCTACTCGAAGAGGACTTCGATATAGTGGGAATAGCTGAAACCGGGCTAGACAGCGAGCATGATTGGGCCACCAATATAGAGGGGTATAACCTGTTCAGGAGGGACAGAAGTGGGAGAAAGGGGGGGGGGGGAGTATGCATGTATGTTAAAAATAATCTAAATATGAATATAAGGGACGACATCACGTCAAATAGTGGGGAGGACGTGGAATCCTTATGGCTAGAATTAGAAATAATGGACGCTGGTCGTAAACTAATTGTGGGTATTTGTTACACTACAGTCCGAAATAGAAATAGCTGGGAGGGAGGGAAATGTAGTCGTGATGGGCGACTTCAATTATCCAGATATAAATTGGGCTAATGGAACCTCAAGTTCAACAAAGGCGGGCCACTTTCTGAACATGTTGCCAGACAATTTCATGGACCAGATGGTGGAGGTCCCAACTAGGAAAAATGCCATCCTAGATTTAATCATTACTAATAATGCAGAGTTAATTGAGGATATTGTTATTGGAGAGACACTGGGCAATAGTGATCACAATGTGATTACTTTCAATATTGGATACAGGAAAGGGATGCGGGCAGGTAGGACAAGAACCCTTCATTTCAGGAGGGCTAATTTTGATAAACTAGCCACCTAGTGGGGTACATGAAATGGGAACATTTATTTCACAAACTGAACTCAGACCAAAAGTGGGAATGTTTTAAAAACACATTACATATTGCCATTGCCAAATGTATACCATTGGGTAATAAAAGTAAAAGATCACAAACAAAACCTGTATGGCTGAATAATAATGTAAAGCATCACATAAAGGAAAAGCGAGTGGCATTTATAAAATATAAGATGGAGGCGACGGCATTGGCGTTCCATAACTACAAAGAATGTAATAAAAGATGCAAACTAGCAATACGGGCAGCTAAAATAGAGTGCGAAAAGCATATTGCCACAGATAGTAAAAAAAAAAAAGTTACCAATATATAAACAGTAAAAAGGGGAGAAAGGAGCAGATAGGCCCAATAAAGGACGAAAATGGGAAGTTAGTCACAAATGACAAGGAGAGGGCCGAAGTGGGAAACGGGTTTGACGCCCATGATAAAACACAGAGTTCATCACAAAATATAGCCAAGTGGTTGACGGAACCCGGGATACAACAAAGACTTAGTCTACTTAATGCAAATAAAACGTTGTTAAGGAGATTAAGGGGGGACATGATTTTCATGTACAAAATGTTCAATAGTCATAGCAACATTGGCAACAAACTCTTTAAGATTAATTCTGTAACAAAGACTAGAGGCCACCACCTAAAACTGGTAGAAAAAAAATTCAAATACAAGGGGCGAATGGGGTTATTCTCAGTTCGCGCGGTTAGGGTCTGCAACTCGCTGCCTCAAGCGGTGATTTCAGCAAATAGTCTGGAATCATTCAAGAAGCTTTTGGACGATTTCTTGAGAAACCGTAATTCAGACTAAAGATGTTAGTCCAATTTCTTTATGATTATGAAGAACTTTAATTTAAGACTGTTTTAGAATAAAACATTTAACCTATTCATGTTTTCAACCGTGGTCGTGTGGGACCGCCCAGACAGTATTGTGGCGGGAAACCGTGCGATCTGATTAGCGCGAATTATTAGAAAATGATGGCACTGCCAACGCGATCAGTGGTGGTGTGCGATTCCATGACCGCACAGCCAGCCCCCTGCTCTGTCACTGCTCCACGCCCCCTGCTCCGTCACCGCTCCACGCCCTCCGCCATTACCGCTCCACGCCCGCCGTCACTGCTCCATGCCCCCTGCTCTTGCTTGCTCGGCACCTGGAACTATATGTCCTGAGTGTCGGGCGATACGAATTCAACACCGATGCGCAAGCATGCCTTGCATCTGTCCCGATTCCGATGCTAGCATCGGTATCGGGACAGCCCTAGTTCAAACTGTTGTGGCTAAAGGTGGTTCTACAAGCTATTGGTGTAGTTAGTTTTTCACACATGGCTTCTCCATTTTGGCTTTATGTTTGTAAAATCGGCCATGGAGGAGGCGGGGCCCACCAGTGACAGAGGAGGCGTGGCCGGCGGTGGAGAAGACTGACAGCGGATCGGGGCTGACAGGGAAGAGGTGTGCAGGGTGTGAACAGCCCTCCTGAGACCCTACAGAGCCCACCATAGAGAGTGGGCTGTGTGGGATCTCAGGTGGGCTCTGCAAGAGGCGTAACTAGAAATCACAGGGCCCATACAAAATTTTGCTATGAGGCCCTGTGATTTCTAGTTACGCCCCTACATCTGAGGTTGTATTTACCTAATTCTAAGACTGGCTAAGGACCAAATTGAATTCTATGGTTTTACGTATCAAGACACAATAAAATTAAAGAGGGTGTACTATCATTGCAGGGAATGTAAGCCATTTATTACTGTTCTTTGCACTAAGCACATAAGTGAGCACTCTATTCCACCTCATAAGGTGAAGAAACATGTAGGGATTGGAAAAGAGGTGCACATCACTATCTCTGTTTGGCTTCATCATTATCCATGTTGGTCAAAAAAAATCAGTACGGTAATAATGAGTATAGGATTTATGAGGTGCAACATGCACATTAACATGCACACTACAAGAATGTGAATTATGGGGGTTAGAAAAAGATCAGGTTGAAAATTGAGATTAATTGAGAATTGAGTTAATAAGAGTATTTAAAGCAGAACTATGAGGTGAGTGCTTTTCACTCATCCTCATAGTTCTAGCCGACCTGTGACAATGAAACTGTCACAGGTCGGCTCAGTAGATCGGGAAGTGAGTGAACACATACCGGCGTTCGCTCACTTCTCGATCGGACTTCTCGAGGGACTGGATACCCCCCTCCCCGCTCTGATCCTCCAGCGCTGACTGGCGGAGCGGACGGGGGAGGGAGAGGGTGCAGCTGGCTCTGCCTCTAGATAGGCAGAGCCAGCTGTCACTCGCAGCTGGGCGGATCCAGACATAATTGTCGGGATCCGTTTCAGCTGCGGTGTCTCAGTATACCGCGAGCTGTAGCTCGCGGTATACTGAGCTTAGGGTGACTGGAAGACGCTAGTTTGTGTCCTCCCATTACCCTTAGGAGAACTATGGGGAAAAGCCCTAACCCCATAGTTCTCCTTTAAAGACATGCAATATTACATTAACTATGGGAGGTTATTTAAAATAGTGAATATTTGGTTTCATAGATAATTATAAAAGTGATTTCTGAGGATTATAGAAGCTTTTTAGAGAGGTCAATAAAGGGATGGGCGGGTTTTGGTAAAGTGCATCATTGCCAATTCCAATTTTATGATTTGGTAACAAAAATTAAAACATTACACTCAATGTATTCTAAAAGGTATAAAGTTATCTTTCTCAGGTTTCCTTACCAGAAAAAGTAGTGTGTGATACGCAGGTCACATATAGCTCTTTTCAAGAGGAATCTGACAAGTGGGCTATCCAGATAACATTCATATTTTAAAGCCTATTGAAAAAAAAATTATTTAAAGGTGAGATAATCACAATTAAATATGCTTACACTTTTCATTAATGTTTTAGCACTGCAGATCCTATTGAAAAAAAAAAAGTTGAACCTCTCTTTTTTTATCCACTGCTAATTACGGGCGCCAGCCACAATAATTTTAATTTACCCTAATGTTATTATTACAGCAGCAGCAATAGTCCTTCTCAGAAAACAAGCAACAGTTCCGTGGACCACCATGAATAAAACAATTATTTATTGAAGTAAAGAATACATGCTCGATAAAGTTTTGCTGACGAATGTTGCTTTACTCACCTACTATTTTTACTACTTCCTTGTGTGTGACATCATGCTTGCTAAACTTTATTATATGTTTAATAAAAAGACAGTAAAAAAAAAAATGAATACATGCTTTGGAACAACCTAGGTGTACACGCTCTCATGCGTTTCACCACATCCTGTTTAGCATGTATTCTTTACTTCAAAAAAATCATTGTATTGTTTTATTCATGGTGATCCATGGAAGTGCAGCTTGTTTTCTGAAAAGGATTAAATACGGCGAAGGCAGCAGCAATTGTGTTCACTCAGGTAGCAGAGTCATGGAAAGCTTTTTCCTATCTCATCTGCCAAGCAGAGCTATAGGCCTGTAGGCATGGATAATCAAGCCCTTTGACATAAACTTTGTGATTTTTACAGCCATAGAATAATAATTTATGAGCAGAACCATATTTTAATCAGTTCTTTTCTTTCAGGGTTATCTGTCAAAGAAAACACCCATATGTAGGGTAACAATTATTCTATTGCTGTAAACACAAATAAACAGCGGAGTAAGTAAAATCAGCCAAATGTTAGATAAACTAGCACTATGCCTAACAAAGAAGTACTATTCAATTTTAATAGCGTTTACTGTCTATCATTATATTGCGCTACCAATATCCCACCTTAGCTATTGAAAAGATAAGGCAAAATGAATGCATAGGTCTATCTGAGCTAATTATTTACACCTACCTGCATGCAGCCAATATGGGTGTTAAAGTTTAGCATTATGCATGAGCAGAAATGACAAAAAAAATTGTTTTTTTAATGAAATGCATTGGAGTCAAGGGGGCAATATTAGGTTTGAGGTGGTTAAATTGTATGTAAAGCCCCCCTTTTTTTTTTAGGTTTTCATTAAACTAGAAGGGGTTGAAACCCGTATTATGTGATTTTTGTTTGCTTGTGTCCTGCTGGGGACATTTTCCCACACTTCTTGTCATGAAGGCATAACAAAGGACATCTACTTTAAATCTCTACAAATTTCATAGAATTTCCCATGATTAGGACAAAGAGAAGGGTCAATTTTCCCAGCAAGGATACAGGCTGCAATTAAAACCTGACAAGGAGTCTAATTCCTCTCCACTCTATCCAAAACGGAAAACCTTTAAAAATGTTTTTAAGGGTTTTCAAAGGTTATGAATGGTTCCTATATTTTCCTATGTCTTAGTAAATAGATGTGAAAAAAGGCCCCTGAAAACTTTGAAGAGACTGTACATTGTAGTGTCTTTTTGGCTATTTTTGGTGTATAGTACATTTATTTCACGTTTTTCAACATAAAGGAGTAAAAAGCATCACAAAATGGTCTACTTTCACGTTACACTTCAAGTTGCTATTTGAACTCTATTTTTCCTATTGCCTACAAAAAAAACTGACACCGACATGAACATGAAATATCCCAAAAGCAAAAGATGTCATTTTTTATACTTGAAAAAACATATAAACAGCGCTCTCGGATGGGCAACAAATTAGCTTGGAGGCGTGTGTGCAGCCCTGGAAAACAGGAGGAGAACCTGTGGATTCTCAGCGCCCTTTCTTGTTTTTTTTTAATATTTTTTTTGAACATTTTTTATACTTGTTTAAACGTTTAACACTGTGCATGATTGTGTTCCTTTTTAGTTTTTTTCACTTATAATGATCACATGTGACCTAAATAATTAACATAAATATCAATATTTCAAAATACAAAAAAGTTAAAAAATATTGAATTTGATAAATATTGGAAACTGAAATATGAAATGTTTAGGATATGTCTCTTTACATTTGCTATTTGTACACTTTTTTAAGTTGTCTAAAAAAATAATCTGAAGAACAAAATATACCAAATGTGATTGACATAGTTATCAGCGTGTCCTTACATTACATTATTCAAGTCTGTTTAATTACTTTTGTTTACTATGTAGTTTAGTGATGAAGAAGTGGTTTAACTCCTTCAGGACCTTCTGATCCTAGATGGAAGGGTCTGAGAACATATATATGGCATAATTCTTTTTAACCTTGGTTGCTTGTTTTGGAAACAATGTGGCACAAATTGTATGTTATAGAATGAGAAAAGTGATACTGACTTTTGTGATTATTTGCATGGTTATGATATATAAGTAGCGCATATAAATACCTCTGTGATGGGAATCTGGGGCAGGAAGTGCAATACTATATGCCATTTTTGGATTAAAAAACACCAGCCTTATACATATTGTAACAAGGACACTCCACTGAAGACCGGAGGTGCAAGTACAATGCAGTTTATTTGCTTTCAAAACGAAAGATAACACGAAATCCAACATAAATAGCTTGCTGTAGCATAACAGATAGGGGCTCACCAATCCTCGAGTTGTCACGTACACTCAAGGTGTCCCAGTCTTTTAACAAGTCTCTCTCGCAGCACTGCTGCTCCGGCCTCAATCTTTAGGGCCACTGTCTGGTTCCTCCAGACAACAGCAATAACATGCCAATCCTCTCAATATGGTTCACAAACCCGCAGCTCCCTGCTGCCCTGGCCTCCACACTGACTCCGGGGTGGAGCTCTCCTGACTCACAGGTGGGGCCCTGAACACATCCCAGCACACACTTCATGAGGGATGTAAACAGGTGCACAATCAGGTGCTGGTCACCACCAAAGCATGGACCCAGGAAAGGAGATTTCTTCCCACCCAGAGCTCTAAGAAATCTCCTGGCTCCAGGATCCCAACCATGATCCAGAAAACCCAGAAAGAACTGAAAAGGCAGTTCTCTCCTGGTACCAGTAATGTCTTCCTGGAGCCACTCAGCCCCTCTGGCTGAGAACCCTGGGTGACTTTGAGGCCACCTAACATCGTGGTATTGCCTCACAATGCCACAATATTTTGTATTGATCATTTGCATAAAGACATCTATGTTTTTTTAAAGATATAAAACAACTGTCAGACAATCATTATAGTACCCATAAAGTCCCAACACATTTTATTTGTTGCTATTGCTAAAGAAGTGGCTGGGCCTATTCAGCTTTAAAGTGCGTCTAAATTCAAAACCAATAAAAATCATATTGTATAATGCAACCTACTATTATTTAGATGAGGTAGCTGCTTTTTTTGTTTTTGTTTTTAAGCGTATTTTGTTTTTATCTGGTAATCCAGCAAAAAAGTAATCTCTGTCCTAGCATGGCTTGTCACCCAGGCTGGACTTTCCGAATATATTTTTAGCCTGGAAAATAAAAACTAATGTAGCCACTACATCTAAGGAATAGTATACTGCAATATTTAACATTTTTGTTCATTGCCTTAGATTTCCTTTAAAGTGACACTAAACTCTGGAGTTAAATCTCAAAAATGCATTCAAGTACCCTAACTATTAACAAATATGTAGCTTTTTGGTGTCCTTCCTTCTGAAGGGTGGCTACTTTTGTTCCCCATGGTCCCTGTGTGTGTTGTTAAGCAGCCAACACGCCAAGCTCACTCCCGTGATTGACTATAATTTCTAATACAAATTTGTAAACTAAACCTAAGGTTGTAGCCCATCACAGGATTGTAGCCCATCACACACAGGCACCATGGGGAACAAAAGTAGCCACCTTCCAGAAGGAAGGACAGTGTCGGCATTAATTCAGAGATGATTTGAGGCTGAGTGACACACAAATAAGATACATTTTTGTTAATAGTTAAGGTACTTGAATGTATTTTTAAGATTTAACTGCTGACTAGACTTTTTAAGTTACACACTTGTTTTTTTCTAATTTCACCACACAGTGCTGCAAAGTGAAATTTCTCCAAATGCAAACCCACTAATCTCTCTGTAAATCCAGGTTCAACCTAATTTCACACTGGATGACAGCTATCAAACCTGGCTATTGTACAAGTTCACTTTTACTTTTCATCTAGGCCTTGCTGTATTGCACCTTTCCATTTAATCATTTTTGTTGTTAATTTCTTGATCCTGAAAAGTGCCTACCTTAGACACAGAAACACCCACTGCATATTACTTGCTGCATTTCACATACACCACTTTGTGGTGGAAATTTGTATGAGGGGTGAAAGTTACCTTTACCTGAGTGCAATAAATGCTGGACTATATAATATGTGACACTGAACTTAGGTGACTGTTCAAACGGCTTTAAAGGAAATGCAAAAGGTAAGGGACATTTCGAGACAGCAGAAGGTGCACATCACATAAGATAAGATTGCAAAGGTAAAAGTTTAAACAAAAAACTTGAAAGATAAATTAAGTGAGTTATTGTTCATTTAAGAAAACTACTCAGGAGATAAATCTTAAAAATGCATTCCAGTACCTTAACTATTAACAAAAATGTAGCGTGTGTATCACTCGGCTGAAGATCTTCAAATCATCTCTAAATTCATGCTGACACTATTCTTCCTTCTGGAGGGTGCCTACTTCTTTTCCCCATGATCCCTGTGTGTGTTGTATAGTAGCCACCACTCCAAGTTCACATCCGTGATAAACTATAACTTTAATACAAATTAGCTAACTAAATGTGAGATTGTAGTCCATCACGACAGCGAGCTTGTAGCAGTGGCTACTTTACAAACACACAGGGACCATGAGAAACAAAAGTAGCCACCCTACAGAAGGAAGGACAGTGTCAGCACAAATTCAGAGATGATTTGAGGATCTATAGCCGAGGGACACACAAATAAGCCATTTATTTGTTAATAGTTAAAGTTCTTGAATGCATTTTTAAGATTAATGCCTCAGTGTATTGTCAACAAGTCTTTTTTTTTCTTATAATCGTCCTTTCACTTTATACTTGGACTTTGCTACTTTGCAAAATAACCATTAAAAAAATCGCACTAATTGAAATAAGTAGGCTGCCACTGTTGACCTCCTTCTGCAAATGCTAGCAAATTCTGAGTGACTACGTGGAAATATGCTTCCATGTGTTGTTATATTTTTCATCCTCTAATAGACTCATTGCAACCTAACTCAAGTAGAAACTGGAACTATACATTAGCATGGGTATTGTATTGACCTGCACAAGCTGTGGTAAGTAATCCAAAAGCTCTGCATCAGATATGGAATCAATCCATTGCACAGCTGTACGTCTCACTTCTTGGTCTGGGAATCTAATAAAAAAAAGGGGATTAATAGATTAAAATGTTTGCATATATTATTTGGCTCAAATTAGCAATAGGATTAGTGCTAATACTGCTGTAGCATGTTTTAACATCTCAAGCTTGTACCCACCTCCCTGTCCAGATATTAAAAGAGGTTTAATATTTAATTTGCAATATTATCAAACAGTTGCAGACCATTTACTGTACATATGCCCAGCTGCTAGAAATATGCCATTACAGAAGATATGCACATTCACATGTAAGTATATGGGCGTCAACAATGATCAAATTGCAGAGCAGTCACACTGTACTAGAGTAAAGTATAATATATTTCTAACAGCAGCCACTGTTCACTGTAAAGTCATTTAAAGCTTGCACTGAAAACTCCCTGGAACTCCCTAGTGCCAGGGTCACAAAAAATAGGATTTTTGTACTCACCGTAAAATCCCTTTTTTCTGTGTTCATTGGAGGACACAGCCATTATAATAACTTGACCAATAGGGTTACATCGCCACCTGCAGGAGTAGGATGCTGGGCATACAAAAAAAACACAAGCCAAACCAGGGCGGCGGCAAAACCCCGGTAGCAAGTAGTACACAGAACAATGGCAAAACACCATAACCCCACAACAGTGATGTGTCCTTTAATGAATGCAGAGAAAAGGATTGTACGGTGAGTACAAACACCCTATTTTTTCTTCCTTTCATTGAAAGACACAGCCATCATAATAACTTGACCAATAGGGACGTCCCAAAGCAGTGTCAAACATAGCGCGTGCACAGAAACAGGGTAGAAAAAAACAAACGTAAAAGAAAAAACTGGACCAAAGAGCCCAGGAAAAGGAATCTAGGTCCTATCTCCTAGACGCTAGGCAAAAAACTGAGTGGGTCATTGCAGATGGAAGGTCTGGCCACCAGCAGGGCCACCCCTGGGTTGGCTTGTGTTTTATTCCTGCAGATGGCAATATCACCCTATGAGTCAAGTTATTATGATGGTTGTGTCCTTCAAAGAATGTAAGAGAAAACCCATGGGCTCACCTTACCAGGTTAATTGTGTCTATGTCTTACAGAAAGACCTCCACACATCTTTAGATTACTTCCGGAGAACCCTGACAGCTATAAGTGAATAGCAAACAGAACTTGTATGGCGGTCCTTTAAACATCATGAACTCTGACTTGAGCACATCATTGTTCTTTGAATAGCATTAGAAATTCACAGATTGATTTCATGTGTTGCCTGTAGTTACTATTCAACCAAAAACTCTAATTGTTTATTAAACAAATTTGCAGCAGGAAAGATCTCTTAGTTTAGATTTTTTTAATGAAGAAAAGATAAGAAAGAGACCTACAAACCCTACTGCCTCAAGCCCAGAGTCAACAGAAACCACCAATACATATCCAAAAGCAAGAGTCTGTCTAGGGATTGCAACGGATCAGAACACAAAATCAGCCCCAAAAATTCAAATAGTAAACCTATATTTCTATACATCAAAATTATATTGTTGAAAAATACAACCAAAAAATCACTATTTCAAATGCTAAAAATGTACCTGGATATACATTCTCCTATAAAAAAAAAACTAACACCCCCAAACAGAGCAGAGCTGACCTCAGCTATATCAAAAGACTAACATTTATCTTTGCTGCACAGAATAAATAATATATGTGAGATCACCATACATTCTAATAGTTTACAAATTCTTTTAAACTTAGTTTTGGGATCTGGAGTAAAGGGGCGATAAACTCTAGAGGTCTTTCAGCTCAAATAAACAACAAAACAGTAGTATGTTAATTTAAGGCCAGGTTCACACTTGGACGATCCATGAACGCATGGCAATCGTACACAAAACTGCCTACCACCACTGATCTCGCTGGTGGTGCCATTATTTTGTAATGGCACCCCAGTGGCGCCAGGCAGATCACGCGGGATTCTGCCCATGCAATCACGCACGATCGTGGTTGAAAAAAACGTGCAGTGCGTATCACAAAAAAAGGTACATGTACCTTTTTTCAGCGACTGTCGCATGGATGTAACCCCATTGAAATCAACGCGCGTCCCTGGATTACACAAATCTGCACCAGCCCTAAATTATGACTTGAGCAATGAATTATACACCCCTTTCTGGACTGTGAAGTCAGTTCTAACTAGCAAATGGTTTCAGCGATCATCTGCGGAATAATGGAGTACTATTGTTGTGGAAATTTTATTTTGACTAATGGGGACGTTTTTATTAGGATGTGTTTTTAGTAGATTGTATATGTGAATATTGTCATCATGTCTCTCAGTGTCAGGTTTGTCGGGTTATGCTCTACGGAGCATAGCCTGGGTTAATCAGCACAGTGGATAAACCATTGGAGTGGATATCTTGCTATGGATGTGGAGACGCGGTCGCTGTGCGCAGAGATCTCCTCTTTGCAAGTGTATGGACGCCGGCGAGGGCCCCTGTGTAATGCGCAGATTTATTCGCTTTTGAGGACACAGTATCATTTGGATACATATCTGCCTTTATGAAGGAACATACGCTCATGTCTTTTTAGTGTGTCTGATCAACACATTGGAAATAATATGGCGTTTTCCCTGCAGATAAACTCACATTCATGGGAATAGTAGTATAGTTCTATTAGGCATTGTTCACAGAACCTTGCCAAGTGGGATTCGCGCCAGTGGTAATGGCAGGAGTATATGCACGAGTCTGATTGGAGCAACTTTCACAGTTAACACGCTGATTCCTTTGTGTAGTCTTTTGGCGCAAACTCCACTGCACATGGTTTTCATTGTTAACTGGTGTGCACGGAGTTCGTATGAACTAGCAGCGGGGGGCTGTGCACATTGTGCTGCACGTTCGCGAACATATACTCCCCTTTCTATTGTCTATTCAAATGTATACTGTACATGTGTCTCATTGGCTGACTCTGTGTTATGTTAATGTATTGAGGAATTGATTGGCTGTTGTGGCCATCTCTTCCTGCTGTTATCCCTTTTTGCCCTATAAATAAACAAAGCTCCCTGCACTAGGCAGGGCATTCTACTGAGTAACCAACGTGAGAACAGCTTGTGTCTGTTTTACTTAGTACCGCTGAGCGCGCTCCATCACATTATAGCGCATTTTAGCGCATCGGATTTCTATGCACATGAGCGTATAGAAATATCCACAACACTATCATTATAAAAACTAATCCGGCATACTTTTCTTCTGCCAATTAAAGAACAACAGCATAAAAATACTTATCTTCCAGCATTCATACCAGTCTAATAAGGAGTCCAATGTATGTAAAGCCACACTCAATAGTCAGGATCTCGATGTAAAATGATTAAGCCTTTTTTAAGCCATTATGATTAAGCCTTTCTAGTGAAACATGTCAGAGCCTGTGGATCTTGTTATTGTTGTAACGTTTTATATTCTTGTGAACAAACTTTTTACATCATGGTCCAGGCTGAGTGTGGCTTTACATATATAGTATTACTAGTGACGGCCGTGGTGTGCCTCTGTTGGCCAGGACCAATGAGTTTGGCCATACAAATATGAGCAGTGTCCTTTTCACAAACTAGTCTAATAAGGTGGATTCCGTAACATCTCTTCTACGATAACTAGACTGTAAAGTATTTAATAACAAGTGATATCTCATGATGGAAGTGCTATTATTTGGGAAAACGAATATGTTAACCTAGCACTTATTGTAAAAAGGACAAAAAGCTTGATGTTTACAATTTTTTACCCATGTCTTATACTCATGGTTGGCTGAAACCAGTCCTCACATGCTGACGGAAAAGGAAACTGTATGTGCAATTTCTGGTGTTTATCTAAGTTGTGATATTCATGGTACCCTGGTGATGAATATGCATTGACCTATTCACTTCAGCTATGTGACCAATATTTCCCCCATGTGATATTTACAGGGTTATTCACAAAAGGGTGAAGAGTTTAGAGAAGACAGGAGACGTGAATAATCTAGGACAAGTTCAGCTATGTTGTCCTAGATCAGCGGTGTCAAAGTACCGGCCCGCGGACCAGTTACTTTTGGCCCGCAGACAGGGAGGTAGAATGGCTTCTTTTGTAGTGGTGCCGGGCTGCAGAATCAATACAACATGTTCTGCTGGTGCTCGCCCGCTGCTCTGTCACTGATCAGGGAGAGCGCAGGGCAGCTGCCATGCTGTGCGCACGGTTCACCTGCTTAGACCCCGCACTGTTCCCAGAGCTGCCTGTCTCCTCTGCTGTGTGCCATCTCCAAAACCCCAGTATCTCTTCCGGTCCAGGTCCCGATCCTGGCAGGATCTCAGCCGCTGCCCCCCTACAATATTTGCCTCCTATCCAGACAGGATTGTCAGCATCAGCACCTGCAAGGTAGGAACACCCCCCCCTCACTACAAGGCCATCTTATCTAAAACTCAGACCTGTAGCTGCCTGTTTTCTATGGAGCTACAAAAGATTATTGCAAGACATGGCAGAATCATTCATTTATGCTGGTGCTTGTAGTTCTTCAAACCTAAGGCTGCATTGTGGTAATGGTGGGTGGTGGAACTTCAAGTCTCACATAATTGCCAACTCTCACGGATTACCTGGACAGTCCCACATTTTACCTGTTTGATCCTGGTTCTTCTGCGTCTCGGCTTGTGTCCTGCCAGCCTGAATGCAAATGAGCTGGGTACCTCGGCTCCATTACATTGCTGGTCATTGTGAATACCTCCATTACATTGCTGGTCATTGTGGATACCTCTGATACATTGCTGGCCAGTGAGAATACTTATTTTACATTGCTGGCCATTGTGAAAACGTTCGATACATTGCTGGTCATTGTGAATACCTCCGGTACATTGCTAGTCATTGTGAATACCTCCGGTACATTGCTAGTCATTGTGAATACCTCCGATATATTGCCGGCCAGTGAGAATACTTTTTTTACATTGCTGGCGGACATGGGTAACTACGGGGTCCTGGTGTTCCTCCTCATATGCAGCCGAGCTTCATGTACAGAACTGCTCCAAAATTTATTTACTCCAGTTTTGATAAATTCCTCTCTTAGTGCTTTGGCTCATTTACCAAGTTCTGCAGAGTATGGCCCTGAATCAGGAACACAAGTTGTCACTCCTTGCTATCTCTCTTGGCTGTCTCTACTCACTGTTTCTCTCTCCTGGCTGTCTCTCCTCACTGTTTCTCTCTCCTGGCTGTCTCTCCTCGCTCTACCTCCTGGCTGTCTCTCCTCTCTCCTGGCTGTCTCTACTCGCTCCCTGCAATGTTATGTGCACACATTACATTTGAATGTGGTGTGTGTGATTACATATATGGCACATATCAGTGACATGGGATCAGTGACATGGGATTTATAGAGAATACAGTTATATATATTTTTCTTTTTAATTATCTCCATAGCTTAACGTACTAAGTGCTGTCAAAAAGAGGAGGTGAAAAGACAATGACATCTGGCAAAAGACAATCTTAGGCCCTATAATACTCCATAATGTCAGCTTTAAAACTGAAAAGAAAAGCTAATGCTGAGCAAAGGTAATTTCAAACGCAGTAGACAAGTGATTTTTTTTTTGTGGAGGTTAATAAGAATGCTAATTGCCTGATATGCAATGAAAAAGTTGCTGTTTTTAAAGAGTACGACCTTAAGTGACATTATACTACGAAACATGCAGACCAGTATGCAAAGTGTATCAAGGAGAAGAAAGGGAGAGGCAAATTGCCCAGATTTAGAAAGGCCTGCAAATGCAGCAAACCCTCTTCAAGCAGGCAAAAAAGGAATGTGATGCAGCAGTTGAGGCCAACTATGTGGTGAGTGAGCAGATTGCGAACGCAGGAAAGTAATTTACTGACGGTCAGTTTTTTAAAGATAGTATGGTAAAGGTGGCTGATATCCTTTGCCCTGAGAAGGCAAATCTATTTAGAAACATCAGCCTATCAGCAAATATAGTGGCAGAGAGGATCAGTGATTTGTCAAATAATATTTTTGAGCAGTTGTGCAATAAGGCTACAAAGTTCTGTTTTTATTCATTGGCTCTTCATGAGAGCACTGACATAAATAACACTGCTCAGTTAGCTATATTTGTCAGAGGAGTTCATGACCATTTTGAAGTGACTGAAGAGTTGCTCAGTTTAGTTGCAATGCAGGGAAACACTACAGGCAGCAACATATTTCAGCAACTCTGTCATGTAATTGATAGTGCTGGCCTGCCTTGGGATAGACTGGTTGGAATAACCACAGATTGTGCCCCATCAATGACTGGAAAAAAATGGACTAGTGGCGCTAATACAAAGAAAACTAGAAGAAGAAAATGCAGATCCTGCTATTGCTTTGCATTGCATTATTCATCAGCAGGCACTTTGCAGCAAATGCTTGTAATTTGACAATGTTATACCAGTTGTGGTGAAGTTCATTGATTACATCAGATCAAGGGGCTTACAGCACCACCAGTTTTGTGTTTTTTTGGAGGAAATAGGAGCAGTGTATGGTGATGTCCTGTACTTTACAGAGGTGCGCTGGCTAAGCAGGGGCAATGTCCTGAAGAGGTTCTATGAACTGAGGCAGGAAGTCAAGACATTTCTGCTGGATGGAAGACTGGATGTTCCTGAGCTTGATGATCCTAAATGGGTCATGGACTTAGCATTTTTCGTTGATATCACACAGGAGCTGAACAAACTCAATCTGAAACAGCAAGGCCCAAATCAGTTTACCACTGTGGCTTTTGACAGGCAATCTCCATAAAGCTGCAGTTTTGGAAAACACAGTTTACCAACAAAAACCTCAGCCATTTTCCAACATGCAAGTCCCTAATTGAACAAAAAGGTGGAGACATTTCTATGTTTGCTGTTGATCAATATGTTGCTGCCATTGAACATCTCCAACGGGAACTTGATGAGCGATTTGCACAATCTTTTGCACATTCCTTTCTTACAATGCAACTCTTCAGATTTTTGCTGACCCCTTTTCTTTTGATGTGAACAGTGCTCCTGATGTGCTGCAAATCTAACTTACAGATATGCAATGCAGCACTGACCTCAAAGCCAAGTTCAGAGATGCACAGGGAAATGCAGAAATGATCAGTTGGTTTCTGAGAGAATTACCAGCTACCTTCCTAAAACTGTCCAAACTATTCAAACGGATCATGTGTTTATTTGGAAGTACATACCTGTGTGAAAGATTATTCTCAACTATGAACTTTAACAAATCTAAAACCAGGTGTAGGCTAACAGATGCACATCTCCAGGCAGTATTTAGGGTCTCTAAATCATATGGGGATATCAATAGAGTGTTTATCTACATAAAGCCCATGGTTTGTAGCTCTGGCCTCACAACTTTGTATCAATGTGGATGGTTTATTGAGCACTCATTATATATTGGACTGTTTCTAATGGATTGGTTATTACTGATATATACCAGGGCCGGAAAATGTGGGCCCTATCACACTGGCTTTTTCATGCTACTAGTGTGTACCATTCAAATGCTTTGAAAACTCTCTCAAAAGATATATAAGGTTCTGTGTGAGGGGTTTAGTTGTAATAGGGGGGAGTATACCTGGGTATATTTTTAGCATTTTAAAGTGATTTTGGGGGGATTTTTAAGGGATATAATAAATACGAGTTTATTTTTTGAATTTTTTTGACTGATTTAGTGTTGCAGTCCGTTGCAGTACCTTGAAGGTTTCTTCCTGTTTTGTGTATATAACTTTGTTTTGCTTTGGGTTTGTGAAAACAGCAAATTATGAACTGAACTAAGAAGATTAATACATTAAATACATGCACATTAGCTTATCGTTAAAAACTAAATGATAAATGCAACTAAATTAGATAATGAATGGCATTAGTAGTACATACGTGGTGTGAAGCAGCCCCAGAGCATCTTGATGTTTCATTTGAGTCCAATGGTCCAGTAAGCCATATATATCTGGCAAGCATGCCCATTGCCAACTAGGTGCACTATCCAGCACCAAGGGCAGGGAGCTGACCTCAGAATAGCAGTAATAACGCATTTCCCACAATCTTTTTTTATCCATGTCGGTCAGCCTGGAATAAAACAGAGAGATACAATTTGACCGAATATATGAGGGAAGCTGCAGACAAATGATAAAAAAAATCTATAAAAAGCTTGCTATGAAGTTTTATGAAACAGCGCCTAGAATGCAAATTTTCACAATCAGTCCACATGTACTCACCCACTACACACTTGTACATACACTAGCAAATCTATATTTACTGGCTAGGAGAACCGCACAGCCAGAACAAACCTGTATCAGTATGACACAACAAGTCACAGACCACATCACAAGTCACCAAGTGAAAACACCCACATCTAACACTTAACTTACAGGAAATCATTTTAGAAAATTAATCAGTCTCAGTGCTGGCCTAAGTCTTGGTGGCCAGATTCTAAGGGGCAGAGCTACTTGGGGTGCAGCTCATGAGGGTAATTAGTCTGTGGAGTAAGGAAACTAAATGTATGCGAGATGCAGTGCTTGTAGGATGCATAGTATTAATTCAGAGGTTGTGAGGTTTTGGTGCATGTTGCCAGTCAGCAGTACGGGTGAAAGTGGTTAGTAGTAAGTGAAGTAAAGTCAGATATGTATAAGAATGTACATATGGGGGTAGTAAGATTTGTGGAAAGTAATTTATCTAATGTGAAATAGTTTAATTTAGCGCTAAAATTCCTAACTGGCAGTCTGGAAAAGCTTGCACTAATTCAACCTCTTAAAGACTAACCTTTTGCCCCTATTGTTTTCCCGTAGTTTTGGATATTGTAAGGGAAGACAAAAGAGCACTCACATCTGAGAAAATGGTAATAGAAAAGCACGAGTCAGGGTATAAATGCAAGAAAATGTTCAAGTTGCTGAATATCCCTTTGAGAACATTTAAAGAAATCATTAAAGCTAAGGGGTGTATTTATAAAATGTTGGCAGAGCAAAAAGCTCTGTGAATGTCTGGGTTTTAAATTTGCAGCACGTAAGGAGCACAGGAAATTCCCATGCTCCTCAAGTCCATCTAGTAGCCATAATGCGCTGTGAATCTAAAATGCAGACATTCACAGAGCTTACAGAGGTGATATGAAATGCTTATGAATACACCCGTATGTGTATGGTGTTTTCTAAATATTGCACATCAACATAAACACTCCATTGCTGTAAAAGCATGGTGGTGGCAGTATCATGCTGTGGGGATTCTTCTGCAGCAAGGCAATGACCCCAAGCATTAATCCAAAACTTCACAAGACTAAAAACAACAATTTTAATGTTTTGGAATGAGACAAAGTCCAGATAGCAATCCAATAGAGACTTTATGTGTGACTTTAAAAATGCTGTTCAAACACAATCTTTGAAAATGTAAATCCTTGACATAACTTGAGCAGTTTTGAAAAGAGCAATAGGTAAAAATTGCATTTGCTGACAAAGTCCACTGTCGCTGAGGCTGTTGGTGAAAATCGTGCTTTTTCATCAAACCATATTAGCTTAAGGGAATTCCCTAGACTTGTAATTTAAAGGGTGTGTATTTTTTTTCCATTTCACCCTCGAAGTAGTGTGAGAAAGATCCTCTTCTCACAGTATGGTATTGTTTAAATTTGTTTTGGCATTGACACATGCCCCCCCCCCATGACAACGCCACAAGTTTCTCATACATTTTCTTGTATATAAGCCCGAAAGATGGCCGGAACTAACAAGATGTGCCTCCCATAGACTTTATCAGGGCTTTTTGCCAAGTTCAAGTTTGCTGAATTTGAAACAGGATTTGCCAAACCCTCAGCAAATTGAACACAGTCAGTCTATGAAAAGTAATCTTTTACACAAAAGTGAACCTCCAGAGCTGTTACTCTTGCTTTGTTACCTAGTGTTTTACAGATTTTGAACACGCATACAGCAAATTAAGGCTGGAATGTCTGAAAGCTCTTCCTGCATGTTTATTCTAGGTCTGAGCCCCAATATTCTGTTAGCCATACTTTTCATACTTACTTTTTTATTACCTAGTAATAAAAACAAACTGAAGTTTTACATTATAGAAAGTCAAAGTCAAAGATAACATGCTGCCTTTAACATGCTATTTGACCATTTCCAGGTAGGGTATTCCATGAGTGTGATCTCCCACATTTGCATCACAATGTAACCATGACTGTCTAAGATCAGATAGTGCTCTGTTTTCTGCAAATATTTTCTTTAATTCAGCTATGATTTGTAATCATGTCTTAGTACTCATTTAATTAGAGCAATATCCACGGTTTTGTCGGGAGTAAGATTAGCTCCTTGAATTAGAAATTTCTATGATATTTAGTGGGCATTCTTCCAAGTAAAATGATAGCCATTAGTTCAATATCACTGAATATACAGTCTCTGGATAATGGTTTTAGGTTTGTAAATTTTCAGCTGGTTTACTTTGCATTCGTTTACATAATTTATATGATGCAAAAACTGTATGTGCCTCTGGAGCTTTATAATCATTATATCTTATTTAACCCCTTCATGACTGAGCTTGTTTTTAGTTTCTGTTCGTAAATGACTGACACACTTTTGACATTTTTGCTGTGTGATTCTTCCACGTCAGTAATATACTTTCTTACAAAGTGCACCCACACATATTATATATTGTTTTTTAGAGGACAGATAGGGCTATATATTTATATCACATATGTGTGTCTAACGCCTCACTTAGGACAAATAAAATATAAAAAAAGAGGAAAAAACCGTTTAAAAAAAACACTTTTTTCCCAGTTTTGATTTGTAGTATTTTTTTTACAAAACCAGCACAGCAAAAAAAATGCAATAAATACATTCATTTATTTGTCCCTTATTTTATTTTATTTTTTACACATTTTTTTATTTTTTTTACACTTTTCACAATTTTTTTTTTTTTTTACACTTTTCACTTTTTTTTAAACTTAAAAATGTTATTTTATTTATTTAATTATATCAAGCAGTCATTGTGAATTAATCTCACTATTACTGCTTGATAAATTAATACATTTTTGGTTATTATCAGGCTGCTTCAAACTTCAGAACAGCCGATAATAAGTTAGTGACACTGATCCTGCAGCAGTTCAGGATTCAGCTGTCACTAAAGGTTTTCTGATTGTTGCAACAACGATCAGCAAACTGAAACATTCTTCTTTCAGGAATAGATACATTATGTATCTATTCCTGAAAGTGAAAGAAGAAAAAAAAAAGCCAGTATAGCTTGAGAGAGATATCTCTCGATCTATACGAGCTGTCAGAATGCCAGCTAAAGCCGGCATGTTTGCCGGCTCTGCTGTGACTCTCAGACACCCGATCTTCAGGTATCGGGTGTCTGAAAAAGGTTAACCCTTTCATTAATGGATGCCTCTAAACTTAGGCATCCATTAATGAATGATAACCGCTGATTCTCAGCGGTTACCAGCCTTCTAGTGCAGCAAATAACTCGTCACGTACAGTGTACGTGACGAGTCATTTGGTCCCTTTGTGGCGGGACGTACAGTGTACGTCTCCCGTCACGAAGGGGTTAAAGTAACACTAAGTAGTTAAACCTTAAAAATTAGTTCAAGTACCTTAACTATTAACAAAAATGTAGCTTATTTGTGCATCACTCAGCTGTAGATCCTCAAATCATCTCTGAATTTGTGCTGACATTGTCTTTCCTTCTTGAGGGAGGCTACTTTTATTCCCCATGGTCCCTGTGTATGTTGCAAAGTAGCAACAGCTCCAAACTTGCTTCCATGATGGACTAAAATCTCAATACAAACTAGTAAACTAAACATGAGTTTGTTGTCCATCATGGGAGCAAGCTTGGAGCTTTGGCTAAATACAACATTAATTAGAACATTTACACTTTGATGGGAACAGTTAAGGTAAAGGGACACTTTGATGGGCACATTTTGTGACCTGTCTACAAAAAATTCTGGCATACTTGCCTGACCTCACAGTCCTACTTTGAGTGGCCAAAGGAAAAACAAGGATCGCAAAACAAAGTGTCATTCGGCTCGGCTTGGATTTTAACACTTTTAAAAAAATAGGAAGATTAAAAAAACTTTTTTTAAATAAATTTTTAAGACAGCTAGCTCAGCTCAACTGTTTCCTGTTGGCCGACACCTGCTAGAGTCTTGTAGCAGGTCCCGGCCAATGAATAACAGCTCTGCCTAGTTGTTATTGTTTAATGACAGACCAATTTTACTTGTCCATATACATAAGTGTAAATGGGGTTTCTTCATATGTGTGTATATTACATTTGGACAATGTGGGATTTTTCCTGCACCAGGTAGTGATGCATAATTTCTTTTTTTATGTGTTATGTTTATTGTTTGTATTTCCTTTTAATGTATGTATTTTGTTCATTTAAAAAACACAATAAAAAAACATCTGATTTAAAACAAAAATGAGTTTTGTAAAAATATCCAGTTACTTTTTAACTTTAAAAATGCCGAACTGTTCCATAAATCCAGTACATATGTTATCTGTTTTTAATAAACAAAAACAATAATATTAATCACGTTTTCAAACAATTCTTTTCTTTTCAAGATATATATATTTTTTGCTGTTAAAGATGTGACAATCTGCCACAGTTATGTGCTGTACAATATCATGTTACATGACCTTGCGCAGCCTTTGGTTCTTAGACACATTGTCTACAGTGTGTAAGTACCCTTTAGGTTAAAGGAACAGTATTTAACTGAATACAATGCTGAACTACACATGTTGCCCTCAGCTGGTAGTAGTAACATCTATCAGAGTAGACAACAGAAACATGCCACAAATATTTTGTAGACCACACTACCCCCTGCATCTAGTGTTTTTTAATAATCTAGGCCTAAAAGTTTGTTAAAATATCTAATATCTAATAGTCCTCCTACTTATCTATGCGCTCCTTCAGTGTCACCTACAATTCTAACTCCTCCCCTCCTCTTCCTCTTTCTGTAGGGGTCCCCCAAGGCTCAGTCCTTGGACCCCTTCTCTTTGCCATCTACACCTCCTCCCTTGGTCAACTAATAACCTCACATGGCTTCCAATACCATCTCTATGCCGATGACACTAAAATTTATCTTTCCACTCCAC